TGCTGCCTCTGGACTATCCTGAGCAGCCAGGTAGGAGCCCGAGAAGGAATATGGTCAAGAGTGGTCACGGGGCAGGGGGGTGGAGGTGGCTGGAGAGATGGCTCAGAGGTTAAGAGCACTAGCTGTTCTTCCAGAGGTCCTGAGTTCATTTCCCAGCAACCAAATGGTGGTTCACAACCATCTATAATGAGATCTGGTGGCCTCCTCTGGCCTGCAGGCATGCATGCAGAGAGAACATTGTATACATGATAGATAGATAGATAGATAGATAGATAGATAGATAGATAGATAGATAGATAGACAGACAGACAGGATTGGTCACAGGACCTTGGAGTAAACCACAGCTGAGTGCTGGGGACTGGTGGATTCTGTGTTCCGCATTTCTAGATGGTATGGAACTGTGTCTTTCTCGAGAATACAAGCTGCAGTTTCCAACAGCTACCGATACCCATGGTTCCACATCCCTGACCAAAGTCTGTCTTTGGCCTCCCTTTCCCTATATTGCTCCTGCAACACGCTTTCTACCCGCCTCCAGGGCTGTTCACTGGTGCTGCCTCACCTGAGAACAGGGTGGCAAGTGCCAGTTCTCCTGAGTGGGGATTCGGGGACACTAAAAGGAGAGGCCCCTTCAGCAGCACCTGAAACAGCTGGCTTGCCTCCCGCTGTGTGAGTGGGAGAAGGGGACTGGGAGCAAGCACTGGGAGCCTGAACCCACAGACAGCTGAACATCTGGGTCTCCCTGGGGTCCCCTTCACAGCCCCTCCCCCCCATGCTACAGTGAAGGCAAACACAAGAGAACCCGACACACAACTCTAGGCCTGCCGACTGGGAAAAGGACACCCACCCTGCCCCACCCTATGCTCTCTTCCTAACAGGGCCTCAAGCTAGTGGGATTCACAAGGCCTGGGGGAGGGGCATACCAGACCAGACAAAAGAGTCTAGGCCAAGGAGCAGCACACTGCCGGCCCACAGTGGCTCAGTGTCTCCATTTCCCCCAGGCACACAGTGGGCTCTTGTTCCCTGACAGCCCTCACTCTCTCTCTTCTGCTGGCCCCAGTGTGGTGGGAAACCAGGGCCCATGGAGAAGCTGACTGCCTGGGGTCACACACATGAGTCACCCCAGGAGCACAAGGAGCCGCCCAAAAGGGAGCTAGAGTAAGTGGGAAGTGCTAGAAAGCAAGCCCAGTGGTTGGAGGTGGGACAGAGTCCGGTGGGGCAGCAGAGCCTCGATTGGAGGGGCTCCAAGCAGCCTGACTGAGATTCCAGTTGAGGGTGAGGGACAAGGTGAAGCAGGGAGCCACCACAGAAGCAGCACACATCAGAACCAGCCCTGACTGCCCGTGTGCACCGTGGAAAGGGTAGGAGGGAGGCTGTGGGGAGACAGGCACCTGTCCTCCTGCTGGGGACCCTTCAGGCTAACCCTGTTTGTGACACAGAAGCCAGAAGGCAGGTGGAGCAACATGGGCCAAAAATCTCTAGCTATACCTGGGTTTTCTCCGCTTGGTTTTTTTGAGACAGAGTCTCATGAAGCCCATGCTGGCCTCAGTTCATGATGTAGTTATAGATGTGCCTTGAACCCTAAGTAGCGAGATTCCAGATGTGCACCTCCACACCTGGCAAGCCTCCGTTTTCTCCTCTGAAAAGGGGTGATGAAAGTGCCTGGCACACAGTAGGTGCTCAGTAAGTAGCAGCTGACTCAACAGAAAGGGTGGTGGCCTGGGTGGGAAGAAGAGAGCCAAAGCTGGGGTGTAGCTGGGTAGGGAGTGCTGCATGCCTGTGAGGCCAGCACTCAGGTCATGAAGGGAGCTTCTGAGTTTGAAGCCAGTCCAGGCGACGTAATGAAACTCTCAAGCAAAACCAAAAGAGCAAAGCTGCAGGCGGGAGCTGCAGGCGGGAGATGGACCTGAGGACACACCTTGCAAAAGCAGACTGCGCAGCCGTGAAGCGCAGACACTGGAGACGGCGACCGCAGCTGGTGTGAAACAGCATCCTCAGGTGTGGGCTGCGGCTGCTGCATGCTCCAGCATCCCACTTGGAGCCTGTCTCCTCTCTCCTCTAATACCCAGCCCCAACCTGCCCCAGAGGGAGGGCCTCACCAGCTCTCTACAGTCTCTGTGCTGGTCCGTCCCCACATGTCACTATAACTTCCGCCAGCCTCTTTGCCTCGTCTGTAAAGGGCATCATATTGAGTGTCTGCTGGGCTCTTTGTGAAGCATAAGGCGTTCTTCAACCTCCACTCCAGCCCCTCCATTTTCATGTGGGGTAAGTTTGTTTCAGCATGGGGCAGGGCAGGCCTTTGCAGTGGCCTCCCTCATCTCCAGGACACACTAGATCTTGCCCTCTCCCCATCGCCCACCATCACCTCAGAAACACACATACAGAAAGGGCAAGAGAACAAGAGCTGCCCTGCTGAAGTCTGTGGGGGAGCCCGTAGGTCCTAGAGGTACAGGAAACCCTGGGACTGAAGGGACCAAGAGATGACAGAGCCCATGAGAGCAAAGTGGCCATCCCTGAGGAGAGGCACCACCCATAGCCCAGGGGTCTCTGACGGCCAGTCAAAATCCCTGATCCAGATGGGGCTGGGAGGGGAAAGGGGACCTGTCCAAGCCACCCAGTCAAAAAGGGGCTTAGAGGATGGATTTAGCTGTAGCTCAAATTCTGGATTAGTGTCCACTGAGATGGACACTCCTGGTCCCCAACCTATCCAGCTGAGTCCCTGAATGAAGTGGAGAGGTTCAGAATTTCCCTGAATGACTCCAGACATCCTACAACTCAGAAACCCCTCCCAGGAACCACAGGAAGCAGGAGAGGCTTCGGGAGGGTAAAATGAGTCTCAACAACAGCTTCAGTCATCAAGAACCTAGGACACCCGCCTCAGACCTGATCCTAACCAAGCCTGTTGATGTTAGAACCTATGGCAGAAAGGAGGCGTTTAAGACCATTTTACAGATTAACTGAGAGAGGCCGTTCACTGCCGGAGGTCACGGGGCCTCGAGGGAGTTCAGCACCTCGGCCAGGTCTGCCAGGGACCTGGAAGGGACCCTTCGCTCCCCTGGCTGCAGAGCACCTAGAGCTGAGTGAGGTCTTCACGTGCAGGGTAGGGCACGCTGAGGAAAGACTAGAGCTCGAGTGAGCTAGAGTGACAGGAGTTCCCTTGCGAACGGCCCTTAACGGGAGACCCAAACCAGTACCACTAGACCAGCTCTCCGGCTCACCCAAGCGGACCTCCCACTAGGGCTCCTGCAGAGGACCTGCCAGCCACGGAGGCTGCCTGGAGGTCTGTGGATGAGTCCCAGACCCTGTACCTTCAGTGTGGGTCTCCCCGGCTCACTTGCCCTCTCTTGCAGATCTCTAAGTAAAGGACCCAGATTGCCCAGAATGACCCTGCTAACAGACGACTGGGCCTCGGGAACCGCTTGAGAACCGGCCAGCTGCTGAGTTCCCCAGCATTCTCTAGGCTTAAGGGCGGGGGCAAGGGGCTGAGGCTCGCCCCACAGAGGTGGGGAGCACCTAGCCTGGGACTGCCCCGGCTTCTTAGCTAGTCTAAACCTGAAAAGCCAGTTTCATCCTAGAATCTTCTCCTTGCTTCAACAGGAAGTGGGGAGGGGGGGCTTTCCCAGGACAGAGCGGGGGGCCTTCAGATCCAGGCCCCGCCCACGCAGACAGACACACTACCCCAAGAGGCACACGGAGCAGGAACTCCGGTCGGGACTATCTGAGCGGAAAGAAAGCCTAGGGGGAGTCCCCTGCCCATTCTCCACCCAGCTCTCCAAGCATGCTCCCAGCAGGACAGACAGGCCCTCTCGCCTATCCCTGAGCACCCAGGGTCCGCGGTCACCCCACCGCGCCCAGGCCTACTTCAGGAACCCGACTGTGGCCTCGGGCTCCCCCTCGAGACCACTGCACAGGGCAGGAGTTGGCTTGGGATGCAGTTCCCGGGTTTGCTGGTGCGAACCGGGCTGAAACGGGCCGAGCAGGCCCAGCCGAGCTCCCCGGGCCCCGCAGCCGCTGGTGTCAGGTCCCATGAGCCGAGAGGACGCGGACCAGGTGGCCCGAAGTCGCGCGCTCGGCGCAGAGTTTTCAGACGCCACCTTCGGGGGTCCTGGGAGCCAGGAGGGCCTGGGGGAGGGGCCGGCAGCGGCGGGGCCGCTCGGCGCGGCTGCGGCCCTCGGACTCCCCCGCCCCGAGGACCCGGCGGGGCCGGTGCCCGGCTGCCCCACCCGCCGCCAGGCCGCGCCGGTCCGACCACGGGCTATTTCGGTGGGGCGCCAGGCTGGAATCCGGGCCGCGCCGCCTCCGCGGGCGCTCGGGAAACTCCGCACAGCGCCCCGGCAGCGGTCGGCGGACACGCGCCAGGACGCCAGCCCCGCACCCGGCCGCCCCGAGCCCCCGACCTCGCGCAGAGAGCCCGGCCGCCGCTCACCGCCGCACGGTCCTCCGAGG